CAGATCTTTCCCTGGGAACTTGTCGATCTCGCTGCCATTTTCCCGGGAAGAAGCCTCGCAGAATCACTTTGACTTTCTTGTTTCAGCAGTGTCAAAATGTTTATTCCGCTCATGTCAAAACACGAAGTTCATTTCAGGAAAGTAAAAAAAATATTTCATTTTGACTTTATCATTTCCTTCACTTAACTTCCACTTTATGTTCCATGAAAGTACTTTTTAATAGGCGCCGCTTGAGATCTCCTCGCGCCGCCACATCCCGGGGAGGAAGCGGCGCGGGAGCGTCACACGTGGCGTTTCCACGGACCAAATTAGCATTTGGGGGAATTTTCATTTCACAGGATGTGCTGCACGTGTGGCTCTGCCTCCCAAAGCAGAGCAGGCGCTCTGCACTCTGCTGGGGCTGTCTTGGTGCTTCCTCCCACCCAAGCAGCTCTGCTGCTGCTTCTTGGGGTTCTGCCCCGGGCCCCGGAGCTGCTGGGATGGGGAAGGGGATGGGGGCTTCAGGAAACCCCCAGGTGTCAGTCTGGGGGGCTGGGAAGGATAGAGGGTGTCTGCATGGGATGGTGTGGGAATCCAATGGAGATCCTGCTGTTTTTCATGGCAAGAGTGATAAAGTTCTGGAATGGCTGCCCGGGGAGGTGGTGGAGTCACCATCCCTGGGGGTGTTTAAAACAAGCCTGGATGTGGCACTGTGTGCCAGGGTTGAGTTGAGGGGTTGGGGCTTGGTTGGACTCGGTGGTCTGGAAGGTCTCTGCCAACCCAGTGACTCTGTGAATTCTGTGAATTCTGTGATTCTGGCCTGGTGGGGTGGGATGAGAGGTGACACCAGCACCAGGTGAGGGCACCAAGCCTTGGCTCTGCCCAGAGGTGCTGGGGGAGGGGGGGCTCAGTCTGAACAGTCAGGCCTGGGACTGTGACCATTCCCAAGGACGTTGGAGATTTGTGTACTCAGACCTTGCAGCATGAACTGCCCATCGCCTCCTTCGCTGCCTCAGTGATTGCTGGGCTGGCTGCTCTGCTCTGCTCTGCTCTGCTCTTTCCCCTGGCCCTCTGTGCCTGTGCTCATCCCAGCCCTGGAAAAGCAGGGCTGGAGCAGCAGGTGAGAGGTGTAGGAGGGTATTGACTCAGAAAGATCCCTGAAATTCCAGGTGTTACCCCACAGAGCCCCACCTGGCATCTGGGAGAAGGGAACCCTGGGGTGTGGGGGACAGAGGTGGCAGCTTGGTGCCCCCCAGCTCTGCCCCCTGGCCTGTCTGTGCCCATGGAGGCTGAGCAGCGGGGCTGCAGCTCCGAGGGGCAGCTGGCTGATGGAGATGCTCCTGCCTGCTGCCAGGAGGGTGAGTGATCAGCACCCAGGTGCTCGGGATGGGGGCTGAGCCAGCCCCGTGTTCCTGCTGGGGGCAGAGGATTCACCATCCCCCTCTGGGCATCCCAGAGCTGGGTGTGCCTTGCACGCAGGAATGGGGCCACCTGCACCCAGGAATGCGCTGCTCTGCATCCACTGCCATGAGCAGGAGGTCAGGGATGAGCCTTGGGCAAGCCAGGGATGGGATGGGATGGGATGGGATGGGATGGGATGGGATGGGATGGGATGGGATGGGATGGGATGGGATGGGATGGGATGGGAGCAGCTTTGGTTGAGAGGAGCCACAGAGCTGTCCAACCTGTCACCTTCTCCACCAGCAGCCATGCCTGCCTGGGGGGCTGGCCCTGCAGTACAGGTGGGGAAACTGAGGCAGCAGGTGAGTGAGACCAGTGTGTTTCTGCAGCACTGGGAGCTGCTAAAGCTCCAGGGTGGCCTGGCAGTGTGGGCAGGGAGCTCCGAGCGCCATCCCCAAGGGGTGAGGTGGCTGAGGGTGAGGGCAGGGGATGAACGGAGCAGCACCAGGAGGGAGAGGCACCCATAGCAAGGCTGAGACCCTCTGCTCTGCTGGGCTGGGAAAACAAGGCTGGAGAGAGGGTGAGAAATGTGGGAGGGCTTTGACTAAGAAAGGCAAGAGTGAGGGAAAAAACATCGCTGGGCTCCAAGTGGGCAAAAGGCTGCAGAGAGAGGAGGGAACAGCAGAGGAAGGAGGTCACGGGTGTAAACCACAGTGAGGGAAATCTGGGAGAGATCCCTGGAGAAATGCTCTGGGGAGGAGGGAGGCGCAGGGCAGCACTCAGAGTCAGGGCATTTTGGGGTCAGGTCTCTCCTGAGGGTTGTCTGGTGCCAGCCTGGCTGAGGCTCCCCAGAGCAGCGACACCAGGAGCTGTGGGGCTCGGCCAGCAGGTCCCCAGCTGCCGGGCAGGAGGTCAGGGAACACCCCAAAGCCCCCGGCTGCTGGGATGTGCCTCCAGGGCCAGCTGGAGCCTCTGCAGCCATCACTGTCACTGTGGGCTGTGAAACAGAGCACTTGTCAAGTCCCACCTGTATATTGTATTATATTTATTACATTATATTGTATCTATTAGATTATATTATACTTTATTATATTATTAGAGCTGTCAGGCCGAGCACTTCCAGGCTGGAACCATCAGCTCCTCAGTTGCTTGGGTAACCTCAGGCCGTCCCTTTGGGCCGGGAATGGGGCTGCAGGAACAGGATTGCACGTGACTGTGGCCTGAAAGAGCTGTTACAGCAGCAACTGGTGGCACCAAGGGTGACAAAGAGCAGAAGGATGCAGGGAACTTGTGACAGTGTTACCCAGGCATGGCTGGTGGGCAGGGATGGCTCTGCAGTGTGGATGGGCAGAGTGAGGCAGGAGGGGAAGGGATAAAGGTGGGGACACAGTGCTGCTGCAGACACCTGTCCCCAGTGCGTGCAGTGCCAGGGTGTGACCCCAGTGGATGCATGGGGCAGGGGACATCGGGGTGCAGGCTGTGGGGTGGATTCAGGGGGTAGGGGTCAGGCCAGTGTCCCCAGTGGGTGCTGGGTGGGTGCACGGTGAGGGGTTGGCACCCTTGTGGGTGCTGGGCTGTGTGTGGCTGGGCCGAGCCCCAGCCGGAGCAAACAGCGCTGTCCTGCCGCCCTGCCGGGCCAGGCGGGGCCGGGCCTCGGTCACCCGTGGGGACAGCACCGGGAAGGGACCCGGCGGATGGCCCGCGGGCACGACAGGCCCGCGGAGACTGGCATCGGGGTCGGGATCAGGATTGGGATTGGGATCGGATTGGCATCGGGATTGGCGTCAGCATCGGGGTCGGG